GAGGAGAAGATCCACGCAGACCCGACCCGCAAGAGCGTGTCCAACAACACTGTCACCTCGGGGCTGGCCTCCACACCTCCGACGAAGCTTCTGTTTCCCAGCGTGGGTCCTCAGAATCCTCGACCCTTTTGCCCGGGACTGGCCTTGCATCCCCATCCGCGTGGTTGACGGCCCCCCCTGGGGGAGCCTAGCAAGGGCCCCTGGAAATCGCAAATTGTCCCAGACGTCGGCTCATGTGTTGGTGCCACGACTCGAAGATGGGGGGACGAAAGACAAGCAGATACCAATACCGATACTCCACGGACATCTCCTGGGGTGCGTCCTGACGAGGATTTCGAGACGAGTCCAGCCGTGGCGTCGAAGGGAAATTAGCTATATCGACAGATTCTGCCTCATCTGAAGACCGACCGTCCCAGCATTCCGATAGACGTAACACGAATTGTCCTCGACCAAAGACACAATGTGCCAGTGACAGGCAATGCTCTTAGAACCCGAACATATACCCCTATATTCCCACCAAGCAGAATGGTCTGCACATCTGTCGCGCAAGCAACAACCAGTACTAACACATGATTTGGCGGGGATACGCATGGTCAATTAATCGGCTACACGCAAGAGTGATCCTACACTTATGCTGTTCCCACCATACTTAAGAGCCACATCCCAGAAATAATTTCGAGCACCCAGAAAAGTATAGAAACAATGTCGAACGGGTATCGCCTCTCAGGGCCCGACGCGTGGAAACCCTCCAGTTTCGGTACTTTCCTGGTGCCCGAAATTCTTTCTGGTGGTCCAGGCTAAGGTGGTTGGAACATCATACTGCTCAAACGTGATTTGGGAGGATGAGGAGGCGGAGGAGGAGGAGGAGGAGGGGGAAGAGGAGGATGGTGGGCTTACGCATGGGCAATTCAACAAGGGCTCCCAACTTCGCGCTCCGCACTGCGCGAAGTGCCAATAACTTCGCGCTCTCGCGCCGCCTCCCAGGGGAGAAGAGGAGGAAGAGGAGGAATCGGAGCCGAAGCGCGAGTAACTTCGCGCCCTCGAGGGCGCCCTTGGCTATCGCATCGCATTCAGCCATCTGGGGCATGGCTCGAGCTAAACTTCGGTCGGGCACGTCCCCCTACAGGCGGATTTCGGGCGAAAACTACCAAAGAGTCAAAACATATCCCCAAATACTCAAACATAGTCAAACACTCGTCCCCGGAAGTATTGTTCACTACTTTTGAAAATCCCCCCCTGTAGAAGAACAGGCCCGACTTAATTAATGCTGAACGCTGCCCTTCGTTTCGTTGTCGTTTTACTTCGTTCTATATTATTTCTGCCTTTGCCACGAAACCAACTCGAAGCAAACACGGCCCACGCGACCGCCAAACACCGTTCCGCTCGAGCCATGATCTGGGGAGCCCAGCGCGCCCGCACCAAGGGCCACTCCAGCGAAAGGTCACTCTGACGTGTGGCCGAACTCAGGACGCTTCTCCGACGAAGGCATCAAAACACGGTGGTGGTGTATAGATGCCTTCTGCGACGCTTCGCATCTGCTTGAGAGGTCTGGGACCACCTGTGGCAGCCCCCGAGATGTGCACTCGGGACGCGCGCCACGCCGGCGCGGCCTGCGCCGCGGTCGCCGCCGGCTCCGGCAGCTCTCGAGGGCTGCCGCGGCCCGGCGAGAGGCGGCCCGGCGAGACCCGGCGCGGCGGCGGGGCCGCCGCGGCCGCAGGGGCAGTGCCCGCCGCGCCCTGTCGATGATCCTCAGGGCGGGTGCCGTGGTCACCTGAAACCGTCTAGCACGACGCGAGGGCAGGAGGGCAGGAGAGCTCAGAATCGAATCGACAAGTCGGATCGGCGATCGACATGGATCGGATCGGCGGAAATCGGCAGCCGAGTCGGGAGAAGTCGAATCGGGGGACATCGGCAGGCTAGTAGGCCTGCGTTGAGAAATCGGAGTCCGAATCGGAATCCGAAGTCGAATCGAATCAGAATCGGAAGCCATCGAAGCCGAATCGAATCGAAACGGAGGAATCGAAACGAGCCCTGCAAGGGGGGCGTCGGAGGGTCCACGCAGGCTGCGCGCCATCGGTGGAGCTGCACGGGGAAAGCGCGCGCACACACAAACACAAACACATGCACGCAGGCACGCACACACAGATGTACACACACATACGCTAGGCCCAGTCACGCGTAGGCGGGTGCCTACCTGGCGTATCAAGTTGGTGGACTGGACTGGCGAATTTCACGCACATACGCACAATCACACACACACACGCACTCATCGGGCTAATACACGTCCCAATGATCATCGATCGGTCCTCTTCTGGCAGCACCGTCATGACGGTGTGGCGCCGGGGCCTCGCGGGGAACGACGCCTTCGGCGGCGGCCCGCGCCGCAGCTGCCCGGCGCTGGCGCTCGGCTGCAGCCGCGACGGCTGCGCGAGTGGTGGGCTGGACGCCCGTCGCGCGCCAGAGCGTCCAGGCGGCATGAGCGCACCAGAGCTCCCGGCCCGCGGCAGCTGCCCCGCGCCCTCCTGCTTAGAAGGGCGCGAACTATACTCCTATCCCCGGTCCTGGGCCTGGCCAAATGTGGAACCAAAATCCGTCTGCACGACGTCTTTGCCCAGGCAGGATGGTGTACATCCCTCTCCCAAAAGACAGCTTTTCATCCTGCATCGTTTTTCGGCGGTCCCGGGAAACGGCGGGGCCCCCCAAAGGCCGAAAACGACAAGACAATATCCCATCATGATTTTGTCCGCTGCGCGAGGAAGTCTGGGTCCTCATTATATTATTGTGTTCCTCTTTTCCGAAGGCATATTCGGACTCGCAACGATCCTGGGCGTTATGGGGGTACGTGGGTGTGAAGGCGCGACTTCAACTTGATAGTGTGTATTGGGCTGCCCTGTGGTCATGCCTATGAAGCCCTCGGGCCCTGTGAGCTATCATGTAACACGGATGCAAGCGTGTGCGTGTGTGTGGATGCGTGTGCGTATGCGTGTGTGTGTGTGTGTGTGTGTGCGTGCGTGCGTGCGTGCGTGTGTGTGTGTGTGTGTGTGCGTGCGTGTGTGTGTGTGTGTGTGTGTGTGTGCGTGCGTGCGTGCGTGCGTGTGTGTGTGTGTGTGTGTGTGTGTGTGTGCGCGTGCGCCCTCGTGACCTGTGTCACCTCGGCATCGCGTGGCCCCTGGCGCTGCGTTCGCACCTTCACGCCAGCTCTTGCTGTGCACTGCTCCCCCCCAGCACGGCCCGCTGCCTGGCAGCCTGCCTTGTTGGCTACCCCCCCCGCCTCGCCGCCCCCCCGCAACTGGTGGTCCTACCCCCCGGCGCCGGCCCCCCGCCGCCTGGCCCCACTCTGAGCGGGCCCGGCGTCCCCCCCCCCCCCTGTCTTCGCTGGGCGTTCCTTCTCGCTCCCCCGCGCATCGCGGCTCAAATCGCATCTGTAAGTCCTACATATGATCTTCCGCCAGCGCAGTCACTCTGCCTAGCCGCCGACGCAAGAAAATGCGTGGTTGTGCAACAAAAAACACGCACCCTCAGATTCACACTCGTTCTAAAAAATGATGGCCTTTGGCGAAGACGAAGCAAACAATGATTGCTTAAGCAATTAAAGCAAGATGGCGAACACAAGGCTCACGCGCATGCAAACGCGTACTGTACATGCACCGCGTGAACAGTACACACAAAATACGTAAACAGCGCTCGTACACTTCACCATATGTAGCGAAACGATGCAACAACGCTGACATCGAGATCTGGCTTAAACTGAACAAGCGAAACGAGCAACTGAGAAGGCCAGCCGGGCGCGGGCGCGCGCAAAGCGTCGCATAATATCATGCGGAAAAATGCACGACCAGACCCATCTCTCCCAACGCGTGGCCCATGAGGTTATCAAAAAATTGACGTCGTGGGGATATGTCGGCGGTGTATCCCGACGAAACGTCACCGCGCCGTTCGTGCGCGCGCGTGTGCCGCCCATTCTTCTCGGCGAGAGCGTCAGCAAGCATGCGCTTCCCACTGCGCCACGAAATGGGGCTTCTGGCCCCCGCGGCCGCCGTCGCATCCTCGCAAAGCCCATCAATCCAAAGATCACGATGCCCGGTGCAACCTAACATCTAACGTCGTTCCGCAGGTAGCCCGACCGCTTCATCTCGATCCGCTGCGCCATGCAGCGAACAGCGATCGGTAATTCGCCCCGGTGATGGGACATAAACTCGCGTCGATGTTGTCTTTGGCACTTACTTAGGTCTGCCCGAGGCGTTTTATTTTTAACCACGCTTAACTCGGAGCCTTGGAAAGCACTGCGCCACCCCCTCCAGGCCCCGAAAAGACAACCAAAAAACGAACTGCGCAAACGAAAAGTTTGTAAAGTTTGTTCCGCCCAAGCGTCAATCAATTAGTTGCGCAGTGCGGCCGACGACGTCCTCATTTCCTCATCCCGGCGTGCAATCCTCCCCATGCCTCTATCATCATTACGTTTGCTCCTGCTGCTGGCTGGGCCGAGGAGCCCCCAGGCCCGATGCCCGATTCCAAGGGCCATCGGGGCCCCGGGCCTGTTTCAGGCCTGCGTTAGACCGGCGCGAAGACAGCAGGGGCGCAAAGGAACAAGCTTCGACAAGGAAGCGAACAACGCTAACCAAAATGATGGCCCGCCGCGACGAGCGTCAAAAGCACGCAAGAAGAACTGGAACACTAATGAGCAAAAAAACCGTCCAGGGCGCTCTTGAAAAGGAGACAGACGCTGCCCATCGCGAGGTCAAGACCCAGACCGCGGAACACGACAGCTCCCGACTTTGGCAGCTCCGAGGTCGCCCGAAACACTCATAACTCCGGCGGCGACTGCGCCCCGTCGGCTCTGTCGGATGGTGGGCGACCTCCACTTCGCGCGAGGCGCGGTGCTCTCGCCATCGCCTAAACGTCGCCCTCTCGGCAACGCGAATCAGACATCTTTCTGAGGCGCGCGGGCGCGCCTGAAGCGAATTGAGATGTTGCCCGACGCGCGCGCCGCCGAGCTGCGCCGGCGACCCCGTCGTCGGGCTCGCCCGCGTTGGCCCGCGATGCGCCGCGGGGCCCTGAAGCGCGCAGATCGCTCTTCATGCTCGGGGCGGTCATGCCCGTGCCGTTGCGCCAAAGGGCCTCGCGCGCGATGCGATTCGCCTCGACGAGGCCCCGAACGACCAGGCACTTCTGACCTCTCCGCGCCAGCGAAACTCCAGCTGATAGGTCGGCACGAGTTTGAATTGAAAACTGGCCGACGCTGCTTCTCAAGCTCCGATTCTCTGCGGCCTCTGCGCCAGTGGCAGGACGCCCGAAGTGGCGCGCGCGATCCGGCTCCAAATTTTCAGCGAACGCTCCTGTGCGCAGATGGATTGAACCGTCGGACTTGACCGTCGTGTCCACGACGCAGAAAGTAGCCCTTGCCAACCTGCAAGGGGGCGCGTGTCCTCGACAATCAGCGCGTCGTCGACGCGCGAGCGCGATCGCCCGCAATGAACCGACGATGAACAAGGATAGCGAACAGGTCCTCGCAAATGCCGACGCGTCGGTCCTCGGCGCTCTTGTCTGCAGATCTGGACGTCCATGTTCGCCAGAGCGCGATGGCGTTTTCGTCTTGATGGGCGCCCGGCCTGCATCGGCGCGAGCGCTGGCGTTCTCGCCCCCAAACGCGAGACTCAAGAGCAATAACATGTTTTTCATCGCGCGTCTGTCGCGCTTGCTCGGGCTCCTCGAAAGGTTGCATATCCAACGATCTGACCTGCTTCTATGCCGCCCAACTCTCCGCGGTCGCTTTCCGGCAGAGAAGCTGCCGAGCAATTCCTTGTCCTGTAGCTTCCTATCTCGCCGCCCGCTCTGAACTCTGGCGTCGCTGAACTTCGTCGCGATTGATCGAATTGGCGCTGCTGCGAAATTCCGCGGGGTCGCCCGTCAGGCGGTGGAGGCAGCGGGGGAAATGCTCGGCTCGGTCTCGCACTTGACCTCCAGCTTGCCTACACAACCGAATGCAAGGCGGTGCGTCGACGGGCGGGTCGCAGGGTAGACTGCTCTCCCGCGCTGGGACCTCTCCTCGCCACAGCCAGAGCAAGCCGGTTAGGGCGCATGTCGCGCAGCACCTGGAGCTTGCACGACGTCTCCTGGTTAAATATCACCTGGGGCTGCTGCCGCCAGCGGGAAACAACATCAGCTCGGAGAAGCTCGACACCAACTGCATGAGCTTGAGGTGGTTCCCCGTCCTCCTCGGGCGGCCCTGGCAGCGCCTCGGCAACTTCCAGATGTCCAGGCGGTGGCTCTGTCCGAAAGCCATCGACTTCCATCTCGGCGATTTGGTCGAGGCTGCCCTGAACTCGCCCGAATTTGTCGATGGCATCCCCGCGTTGATCACCAATGCCCGGCCGCCATGCTTCCTCGGTTGACATAGGTCGAACGTGGCTGGGGGGTCACGAGCATGAAGCAAATGCATTGCCCCTCCGCGATCATAGCGGAGCCCAGCCAACTTCCTTTCGCGATGGGCCCTCTTGACCTGCCGGAGGCAGAGGCGCGCGCCACCCTGCCCGACTGGATGCGGCGCGACGCTCGCGCGTCCTGGCAACGCCTTCCGCGGGGCACTGTCGCTCTGCATCTCCGCGAAAGCCTTGCCAACTGCCGCCCTCGCCATGGGCCGTCGTTGCATCGGTAGTAAAATGATGAACTCCATCGATGAGGTCGGCTGGCGGGCGCAGGCTTCCTCCGGGCGCCCATTGCTCCCAGCCGACCCCGCACTGGCGTCGCAACGCGTTCTCGGCCGCCGCGACGACGAATGCCACGATGCGCATATCGGACTCTCCTGCGGCCACGGCGTGCGCAATGGTGGGTTCGGCCAGCGCCTTTCACTGTCCCCCTCGTCGCGCTGCCCGCCCGTAGTGCCGCGGTGCCGGCCCAGCCACAAGACAGAGTATGTCTAGGCCATGAAACAGTTCACAGAGATCTGCCCGTTGAGCTCTCCCGCGCGTGGAAGACCGGGGTGTCCGCGGACCTTCTGGCGGGCCCCCGTGAGACTTCACGCGCGCCGCTTACTTTCCGGTCAAAGGATCGGGCCACATCGCCGATACATCGGCGATCAATCGGCGATGCGTCGGCGATGCACGGGCGGTGCATCGTCGACGTGGTCGATGCATCGGTGACGTCGGCGTGAAGCAAATCGGGCTCCACGTCGAGCCGCATCGGCGATGCACCCGCGCTGCGGCGCGATCCTCCGACCCCATCGACTCGAACCCCATCGGGGAGGCCTAGTGTCGCCGTCGTCCGCTGTACGATGCTGTGGCGCGGCCTGGGGGAAGGAGGAGGAGGAGGCCAGGAGGAGGAGGAGGAGGAGGAGGAGGAGGCCAGGATGAGGAGGAGGAGGAGGCTAGGAGGAGGAGGCTAGGAGGGGGAGGAGAAGGAGGTTAGGAGGAGGGAGGAGGAGGAGGCTAGGAGGAGGAGGAGGAGGAGGAGGAGGAGGAGGAGGAGGAGGAGGAGGAGAAGGAGGAGGCTAGGAGGAGGCCAAGAGGGGGAGGAGGAGGAGGAGGAGAGGAGGAGTAGCAGGAGCAGGAGGAGGAGGAGGAGGAGGAGGAGGAGGAGGAGGAGGAGGAGGAGGCTAGGAGGAGGAGGAGGAGGAGGAGGCAGCATCGCCCCCCGGCCAGCAATTGCAGAGCCAGCAATTGCAGACCCGGCAATTGCAGAGCCGGCGGCGCCCCCCGGCCTGCGCCGCCGCCGCCTCCGCGGGCCGCCGCCGCCCCCGCCCCGGGTGCAGCAGCTCCTGGGGGCGCCAAGCAGCACGGCGGGCTCGCGCGGCGGCGGCGTGCGCGCAGAGGTGTGCAGCGCGGGCGCGGCCGCAAGAAACCCTAGCGAGAAACCCAACCCTCCTCCTCCTCCTACTCGCCCTCCCCCTCCCCTCGCCCTCCCCCTCCTTCTCCTCCTCCTCTCCTCCTCCTCGCCCTCCGAGAACCCGCGCGCGAGGTGCACCTGAGGGGAAGCCTGGAGCACCCTGAACGCAGCAGCTCCTTCAGCGACCGCGGGAAGGCACCGCGCAGCGCGCGGAGCGACGAAACCCAGGATACCCTGACGACAGGCAGATGGTTTCTTGATGCGCGCCCCCACTGTGGGTCCCACGAGCACGGCAAATCGCCCCCAGACTATTTACTGTTCTTGAGGATTCTTCCTGTAGAGGGGTATGCCCGACTTAAGCAAAGGTTTTTTGCACAGCGTCGATTCTTCAACCTTGAGTCGATCGCGGCCCCGATCGCTCGAGGTTGACTTCAGTGGCATCACCATGTCTCTCGGTGCTTCCGCATCGCAAGAATTCAACCAACGCCTTCGCCGGCGTCGCGGGCGCGCCAACGCCGCATGCACCTGCTGTAACAGGGAATGTGTCGACCCCTGTCCCAAGCTTCGGGGGGGGTTCGAATGGACAGGAAACGTTTGAACCCAACCCTTGAAGATATACCGTGGCGTGTCAATCCTCGACAGAGATGCGTCCGAATAGCCCCCTTGGGGTGCATCCCAGGGCGAATCTCTGTTTTCTGAGCGGCCAAACTTTTCGGGCGGCACTCGGGGATTGAGGGGAAAATCGTTTGCGGAAACAAGGGCAGCGACGCGCCGCTGCTCCACGCAAGACGAAGGCAGGACGAGGCTACAACCGCACCGGGATGAATCGGGGGCCTCTGAGAGCCAGCGATTGTGAGGGATGCATCGGGAACCGCGGCCTTCTCGGAGCCTCCCTGAACGGTCTGAGAGCGTTCTGCTACGCTCTGGAGCGGTCCTATCCCCACCCGACCACGGCACTCCCAAGGTGCGTTCTGTCAGAGCCTCAGACTGGAAACCCATCCCGGCCAACTCGGGCGCCCAATACCACTCCCGAATTTTTCGGGGCTGCGCCAGGGTGGTCAGGGGCACCTCCTGGTTAGAGAGCCCACAACGGACGCACCCGCCCAACCACGCACACGAATACGGAACCCCAGCCGCAAGACCAGCCTCGTTCTACGAACGTTCATGCGATGCGAACTTCCCCAACCAACGTGGGTCCTTTTTTCCCTCCTGACCGATTCGTGTCCCCGGGGGGCCAAAACCGAAGTTACCCTTAAGTCGGGCCTGTCCCCCTACAGCGGGATTTTGGGCGAAAAGTTAAAATACGCAGAAACTGCACCCAAAATTCTCAAAAATAATCAAAACAAATAGTCCCCAGACTTTCTTTTTTTACTATGTTTGAATATCCCTCCTGTAAAAGGCCCGACTGAAAGTTACCCCCGACTGGAGTTATACCCCAAACGGCTCTCGGGCGTCCGACTCTGGCCAGGGCCTGCCGGGAGGCCCAGCAGGGAGGCGGAAAGGCAAGGCCGGGGCCCAGCGGCTGTATGGCACCCGCCCAGACCGAACCGGACACGAAGACCAAAACTTCGGGTTGGGAGGGGGGGGTACGGGTTCCACGTATGTTTTCAACCTTCCCCGACGCCCCCCCACTGGAATGGCGGGTGAATTGGGGCCTTCGGGTTGGGTTGGGGTGGTTTGGTGGGTGGTGAGCGCTGGAGCTGGCCGATGCGAACAAGGTCCTGCGCAGGTCAAGAGAACACTGGGCGTCCTGACTCCAGGCCTCCCAGATGGGGTCGAAGCAGAGGGGTCGGAGGACTGGCGACCATTCGGATTTGGCCGAGGTCATCGAAGCTCGAGGATCAGAGGATCCAAGATGTGGCCCGCTTTGAGAAAATCTTTGAGGCCACGGGGGCGTCCTCGAGGCCACGGCTGCATCTGCCTCGAAATGCTGGTCGGAGGGCGCCCCAAGACCAGTCTGGGGGCCGCAGTCATCCCAGCCGACGCCCACTTCGTCTTCGTCTTCGTCGAGGTCGGTGTCAATCTATATATATATATATATATATATATATATATATAACATGTTCATAGCTGGTATATATACGTGTATGTGATATATATATATATATATATGTCCACACATGTTCACATATAACTGGTATACATATAACTGGTATATATAGATACACATGTTCGTATATGTAGGTGTATGTGATTATGTGCACAGTCACATATGTATATATATACACATATATACATATGCACGTAAACAAACACATATATATATGCATGTAGACATATAGCTAGATGCACCCATACACATATGCACATAAACCTAAGTGTATAGATGTAGATGTGTGTACACGTGCATATACACATATATCTATATATATACACATATGGTAGAAATACATATATATATATATGTGTATATATATATATATATATATACTGGCACCGACCTCTTCATCCCTCTGAGCTCCAGGGCGGCGCCCGCGGCCTCCCGGAGCTGGGGCGCGGCGTCCTCCAGGAGCGCCGCCAGCTGCGCCTCGAACGGCGCGGCGGCCTCGCCGAGGTGCCCGAGCACCCGCGCGGCCGCGGTGCGGACGTAGAGGTTCCTTGCGGGGACAGCAGGCGACCACGACCACATCAAGGAAGGCGCCAGGGGCGGCGCTATAGGCGCCGCCAAGAAACCCGCGCCGAACGAGTGTTGCTATATACGTAAATGCTCAGGCCATTATGCTGCTCCACTGGTGGCGAAGCCTCGCCCCTCGCCCCCGCGGCAATGCCTCGCCTCCGCGCGGACCTCCGACAGCTCAAGGTCATGCAGCTTGTCTCGATAATCCACACATGCTTGGGGTAAGGGACCGGACTCTATACACCGACGTTTTCTATGGCCCCGCACTGAAATTCGCACAGGAACGCGGATCCTGGTGTATACGGGATCCTGGTGTATACGTGTTTCGTGGTTATACGGGAAAACAAAGAAAATCGTATACACCACACCACCCCGACGTCGTCCCCGACCCTCAAAAAGTTCTGGGACTGCAAAACAGCCCGCCACTGGTAATGTATATGTTCCAGTTTCCGATCAAGGGCACAACCTGGGGAATGTCTCGCGCACGCCAGAAACTGTCGGAACGCCGAGGCCAGCTTCGTGCTTGCCTTGCGGTCGACGTGGCGTTCCAGGAGGGTCGAGCCAACCACGGCCACGACCAAAGTGCTCGTGTGTCGAGGTCGGCGGGCTCTCCCCCGTGCCCACCCGAAAAATCCACTCAGTTGTGGTTGTGGTTCTTTGCTCACGCCGAGGATATCTCTACACATATATATATATATATACACACAGACGCCCTCCGAAGAATGTTGCATGTACCTTCTGGGAGGGTGGCGGTGCGTAGAGTCGCTGGCTCCCGGTGAACTCTATACACCGCCGCCCTCCCCTGGGGCCCAGGAGCAATCCGTCGGAGGGTGCCCGTGTGCTCGGGGGCGGCCAGAGAGGGGGGGTGTCCCCGATGTGCATGTCGCCCCCGATGGGTATGTCTCTGTGGCGGACTGCTGTGCCCCGCGCTCCAGTGCCGCAGGCGCCTGGCCACCTCGGGCGCGCAGGGCGCCGCCGCGGGGCCCAGGCGGGCCAGCGCGTCCACCGCGGCGTCGCGCGAGGCCTCGTCGAAGTCCTCGAGGCAGGCCGCGAGCCCCGCGGCGAAGGGGCCCGCAGCCTCGCCAGGGCGATACCAAACACTGGCACCTAGAGCTTGGCATATCTGCACAAGTATGTGTGTACGTATGTGATAGAAGAGGAAGAAGGAGAATAAGGAGAAGAAGAAGAAGAAAGGCATCAGCATGAACTTTTGGCGCTCCGCGCGAATTTCTTGGATCCACGCTGGACCCCCTCCCTGGCACGCGGAGCGCTCCAGGAGCGGCGCCGGGGGCGCCGCCAGGGGTGGCCCAGCGCGGATCCAAGCAACCCGCGGGGAGCGCCCAGAGTTTCTGTTTATGCGTTTCCCTTCTTCTTCGAAGCTCGGGGTGCTTTTGGACTTGTTGGGGCCGTTCTGGAGGGCCCAGAAGCCACTTGGGGGGGGTGGGGCGCCTGGGGTTAAGCCGGGCGTGTCCCCCCACAGGGGGATCGTCGACGAAACATAAGACATACTCAAAACATACCCCCGAATGGCCAGGAAATGTTCAAAAACCCATCCCGAAACTATTGTTTGACTATTTTGGAATATTCCTCCTGCCGAGGGACAGGCCCGACTGAAGCCGGGGGGCGCCCGTCTCGAGGCCCCCGATCGGCCTCCCGGGGCCGCCTCCCTGCCCCGCGGGCCCGTCCACGCCGCGGCTCGGCGCGGGAGCCGGGCCCGCGAGTGCGCAGGCCCAGGCCTCCGGAGGCCTTCGGCGGCAGCTCGCGGGGGCCTCCACCTGCCATCCTGTCGGCTCTTGCGAACCGACGCTCGTCGACGCTGAATCGACGCTGATCGACGCCGCCAATCGACGCCAGATCAGCGCTAAGTCGGAGCTGCATCGGCGCTATCTCATCGACTCCCCGACGCTAGTCGACGCCAGTCGACGCGACGGGATTACGAGGGTACGTACACAAGGCTCCCATGATTTGCCACCGAAGGGCCCGACGGCACGATCAAGTTGCGGCGCCGGAGGCGAGGGGGACAACGCCGCCCACACAGCCTCGGCCCCCTGAAAGGGGCCTAGGGGCACCGAAAGAAACAGACACCGATCCCAGGATGCCCCGCGTGTGTCCCACGTTTCCTGGAGGTTCGTCCCCTCCACTTCCCACCATTTCCAAGGGAGTCGAACATGACTTGCGTCTATCTTTGTCGACCTTGCGGCTCTCGATCCTTCCGAAATTGTTCCTCGGCTTCGGGCTCTGGCCAGGCGCCGTTGGGCCCAAGAGCCCAGGAACTGGATCCAGGATGAGCGGACAACCCCACGAGGCCCCCTGCCCTAGACGTCCGATGTCGTGACGTGTTCTACGCACGCGGTGTCCCTGGGAAAAGCAACCCTTTGCTTGAGACTGGCTATCATCCTGAGTACTGTTTTGACGGTCCCAGAGGCCCCCCCGCAAAACATGATCGACCCACGAACCCGGAAAGGAATATAGAAATGTAAGGCATGGCAACGTTTCAAAGACACCAGAGTGGGCGACGGGCAAATGCAATGCTAAGTGCATCGATCTGGATGTACTGTACCGAAAGCTGTGCTGTGCTACGCCGTGCTGAACTGCGATTTGCCATGCCGCGATTGTGCTCTCTCTCTCTCTCTCTATATATATGTATAGCGTTGCGGATCGAGTCCTCGTTGCCACCGAGTCCTGACCGAACTGATCTGGATCTTAAGCTCGAGTTGCCTGAGCAGATGGTAGCTGCCCCAGAGCTAATCGACAAACGTGCCATGCCAGGAGGACGCGCCGCGGAACGTCCCAAGGGACGAGCCAGGCGACGTGCCAGGGGACGTGCCATGGGCAGGTACCGCAGGACGTGCCAAGGGGACGCGCTGCGGAACGTGCCAATGGATGCGCACCGCGCGACGTGCCAGGTGGACTCGCCACGGGACGCTCCGCGGAACGTGCCAGGCAACATGCCAGGTTGCAATGTTAAGGGTATCGATATTGATGTACCGTGCCGAAGGCTGTGCTGTGCCTGGGCGACCTGAAAACGTGAAAACACGCGTTTCGCTCAAGACGTTCTCAGCACATCCTCATGCTAGACATCCGCCTGGGCGACCCGGACACGTGAAAACAAGCGTCTCGATCGAGACTTCCTCGACACATCCGCCTGGGCGAACTGGACACGTGAAAACAAGCCTCTCGTTCGAGACATCCTCAACAAATCCTCATGCTAGACATCTGTCTGGGCAACCTGGAGGCGTGAAACCAAGCGTCTCGCTGGCTCGAGACATCCTCAAGACCTGGGCACGTGAAAACAAGCATTTCACTTGAGAGATCCTCTGAATGCAGGTCCTCGGGAGAGGACAATCTATAACACACAACAAGCGTTTCGCTCGAGACATCCTCAACAAATTCTGAAAAATAAGCGTTTCGCTCGAGACATCCTCAACATTTAATTCGCAGGCCCTGCGCGACCTTGTGATTTATCGCAAAAGAAATTTGCCGGCCCTACAGCCGTCAGATCGGGGGGCAAACCCCTAAAAGAGAACCCTTGGCCCGAAGCCCTTTCAGGGAATAAGGAAATGTGTGATTTCAATTTGTTTTCCAATTCCTCGGCGCTGTTCGGCGCTGTTTTTTGTTTGTGCCTCGTGTGTTTTGTTAGCCGGGCCTGCCACCCGGCGGTTTCTGGAGGTCTCCTGGAGGCCTGGAGAGCCGTCGGAAGGGTGTCTCGGGCTGCGCGGGGGCGTGTTGGGCCGTTCTTTACGTTCTGGGGGCTCCTTTGGATCGTCTTGGGCTGTCCTTGGGCGTCTTGGGGACCCCCTGGGAAGCCGGGAGGCGCGGTGCCGGCCAGATGTCAGGCGATGTGTGGGATCTCGAAGTAGGAGTCCACTTGGAAAAACATGATCGACCCACGAACCCGGAAAGGAATATAGCACTGTACCACATGGCAGCGTTTTCAAAGACACATGATTGGGTGACGGGCAAATGCAATGCTGAGTGTATCGATCTTGATGTACCCTGCCGAGGGCTGTGCTGTGCTGCACCGTGCTGAATTGCGATGTGCCATGGCGCGATTGTGCTCTATAGCCTCGATGCATCCGAGTCCTGACCGAACTGATCTGGATCTTAAGCTCGAGCTGTCTGAACACATAGTAGCTGCCCAAGGGAGCATGTCAGGAGGACGCGCCGCGAAACGTCCCAAGGGATGGCGCCAGGCGGCGTGCCAGGGGACGTGCCATGGGGTCGCACCGCGGGACGTGCCAAGGGGACGCGCTACGGAACGTGCCAATGGATGTGCCACGGGATGTGCCAGGGGACGCGCCACGCGACGTGCCAGGGGGACTCGCCAAGGGACGCCCCACGGAACGTGCCAAAGAACGTGCCAAAATGCAATGCTGAGTGTATGGATCTTGATGTACCGTGCCGAAATATGTGCTGTGCTGCACCGTGCTGAATTGCGATGTGCAATGCCGCGATTGTGTTCTATGGCGTCGTGGATCGAGACCTCCTTTGCATCCGAGTCCTGACCGAACTGATCTGGATCTTAAGCTCGAGCTGCCTAAACACATAGTAGCTGCCCCAGAGCTAATCGACAAACGGACATGCCAGGAGGACGCGACGCGGAACGTCTCAAGGGACCCGCCAAGCGACGTGCCAAGGGACGTGCCATGGGGACGCACCGCGAGACGTGCCAAGGGGACGCGCTACGAAACGTGCTGGGGACAAGCGTTTCGCTCGAGACATCCTGCCAACATCCTCAGAATTCCTGCGCGCGGGACGCGGCACGCGCGATACATCCTCGGAATTCTTGCGAGCGGGACGTGAAAACAAGCATTTCGCCTGATACATCCTCTGAATTCTGGACCCCACGAGGCCCCCCACGAAGCCCCCCAATGTTTCAAAACCAGCGTTTCGCTCGAAACGTCTTCAACAAAGTATGAAAGACAAGCATTTCGCTCGAGACATCCTGCCAAAATTCAAGGACATCCTCGCAAAACAAACGAATTAATCGAGACATCCTCGAAATTCCTGCGCGCGGGACGCGGCACGCGCGAAACATCATCGGAATTCCTGCGCGCGGGGCGCTTTTCCGCGTCGCGGTCGGCTCTGCAAAACTAGCGTTTCGCTCGAGACATCCTCAACAAATTCTGAAAACAAGCGTTTCGCTCGAGACATCCCCAACTCTGCAAAACCAGCGTTTTGCTCAAGGCATCCTCAACAAATTCTGAATTACACTGCGTCCGCGCTCCCAGGGCTACGATCCCTCGTAAATTACACTACACCCGCGCTCCCAGGGCCACGATCCTTTGTAAATTACGCTACGTCAGCGCTCCCAGGGCCACGATCCCTCGTAAGGGCTCCTGGGCCCACCTGGGTCTTCCTTGGACCTCTTGGGCCCTCCTGGGCTCTCCTGGAGCCTCCTGGAGCTTCTCCTGGGCCCTCCTTGGGCCCCCTGGTGCCTCTTGGAGCATCCTGGGTCCTCCTGGGCCCTCCTGGGCTCTCCTGGGCCCTCCTGGGCTCTCCTGCGCTCTCCTGGAGCCTCCTGGGCCCTCCTGGGCGAAGTCAAAGTCCGAAAACACATGGGACTTGCCACATTTCTGAAATTCGGTGCCACCCCTTCACGCAGGTCGGCGGGGTCAGGGTCCAAAAACACATGGGGTTTGCCACATTTCTGGAATTCCGTGCCACCCCTCACGCAGATCGGCGGGGTCAGGGTCCAAAAACACATGAGATTTGCCACATTTCTGGAATTCCGCGCCACCTCTCACGCAGATCGGCGGGGTCAGGGTCCAAAAACACATGGGATTTGACACATTTCTGGTATTCCGTGCCACACCTCACGCAGATCGGCGGGGTCAGGGTAAAAAAACACAGGGGATTTCTGTCATTTCCGAACTTATGCAACTTCAAGAATCCAAAACTCCGTTCCCAGCGCCGTTCCGGAGGCCGCGGTACCTCGTTATTTATCAAGCGAACGCGTTCACATCGTTTTTTATTGTTTAAGTCGATGTCGGAAAAAAGTGGACTTCACCTGTGAAATATCGAGGTTTCCTTAAAGGCAGTAAAATTCCAAGAGCACGATCTGCGTGAGGGGTGGCG